AGATCGCTGAACTCTCCTCCATTTGATTTCCACCCTAGTCTTCTCCAAGCTGGATTATGGCGGCGAAGTCTATTCTGTGGCTTCTACAACTCTAAATTAGAACCCCTTCATCATCTAGGTCTACGTTCATGCCTTGGTGCCTTTGCAAATGTTCCTACCTTAGCTGATCGTCGTGCTCATTGTCTTCGTTGTTTTGTCCACGCTCATGACCTTGTTTCTTCTATATGTAGGTTGGTCTCAGACGTTAGTAGAAGCCCATTGTTTGTTCGACACCCCTGCCTACACCGGCCATTTTCTCTTCGTCTTCACTCTGGTCTTCTCTCCAGTTGCCTCCCTTGTATGTTCATTTAGCATCTGCCTTTTCCCTTCTCCCTTGGGATTATTATTATAATCATGAAGGGCTAAATTCCCCCTTGGGAAGTTTCGACAGTTCGTGTTTGTTGCCCCCTACTTCCCTGCACCAAAGCTCTCCTACCTATGACTTCTCGCTCTTTTTCTCGATCACTTCCAGTCACATCCTCATGCCATCGCTGTTTATACAGATGGCTCTAAATCTTCTAACGGTGTTGGGTTTGCCGCTGTATTTCCTGACGATGTTGTCCGAGGTCATTTGTTAGACTGCTAGTATTTTTACTGCCGAGTTGTATGCCATACTCAATTATTATAATTATGGGGGAGCGCTAAACCTGCCATCCTCTTAGGGCTTCTTCGTATTACATATGTCACCTTCAATGTTTGTGTTCATTTCAGATTCCCTTAGTGTTTTACAAGCCATTAAACAATTTGATTACCCTCATCCATTAGTCCTTCGTATTTAACTATGTTTTTGCTAGCCACACGGTGCAACCAAAGATGTCGTTTTTCTATTGGATCCCTGGACACGATGTGCAGAGCACAGAACAAGCGGATGCTGCTGCAAGGTCAATATTATTATTATTATAATCAAGGGGGAAGTGCTAAACCCGGAGGATTATACAGCGCCTGGGGGGGGATGTGGAAGGCATTCAGGCTTAATTCGGGGAACTGGAGCACAGATCCAATTCCCTAAATCAAGAGCCCCTCACCAACATCAAGGAACCTTCCTTGAGGGGTGCACGGTCAATAGTGCACGATCTTCCGGTTTCCTTTAGAGGTATTCCGTTCAGAAAATTTTCCAGTCATCTTGGCCCGTTTTCGCAGCCGTTGGCTTGCCAACGGTAGTCGAGCATGCACTGTAACGAATTGCACTCTCATTAAACTGCTTTTAGATTTGTGGCCATCTCCTTACCACTGTTGCCATACTCGGGAGACTGCTCAATCCTGGCTCAGCATTGGCCATACTCGCCTAACCCATGGAACGACACACTATTCCTCTCTGAGAGGTTTGTCGGGGGTCTACTTCAGTTCACTTTCTTGTCGACTGCCCTGTTTACCAGCGAGTTCGCAGGATTTACCTCCAACGACTATGCTGCCCTACCATGCTTACCTTACCTTCCCTTCTTGCAGACGGCCCTGCCTTTGGCTTACAATCACTTTTTGACTGTCAGCAACTGCTTTACTATTATTATTAATCATGGGGGGTGCTAAACCCGTAGGATTATAAAGGGCATGTGGGGGAGACGGAAGGTATTCAGACAATTCGGGGAACCGGATTATTATTATATTCAAGGGGGAAGCGCTAAACCCGGAGGATTATACAGCGCCTGGGGTGGGGGGATGTGGAAGGCATTCAGGCTTAATTCGGGGAACTGGAGCACAGATCAATTCCTTAAATCAAGAGCCCCTCGCCAACATCAAGGAACCTTCCTTGAGGGGTAGGGAACCGGAGCACAGATCCAACTCGCTAGAAACTGCTTTACTCTACGACCTTTGACACAGCCCTTAGCGTCTTTTCCACCTCCCCCCCCTCTTGATCCTTCACCTAGCTATTTATAGCCTCAGCCCCATTTTCTGCCCTGCAGCACTGTATGACCCTTTCTTTGATTATAACTTAATTTGTGCACTATATTTTTTAGACCTAGCTCTATTCCTCACTGCAACAGTGACCCATGTGGGTTTAGTGCTTAGTTTTTATACTTGTGTATATTAAGTGAACAATTATAATCACATTGAGGCTTTTATATGCATTTGAAAGCGGAAAAAAAGGCTTTTACTTTGCAGTAGCAGCCCAGAAACTAACCTGCTGTGTAAGCAGGGCCTGCCTATAATTTGAAGATATTCAGATTCAGTGTATGGAAAGGGAGAAGCAAGTGAATTCTCCAGACCATGAGACTACATCACTTTTGTAGTTATTATCCATCCTACTAATTTCCTGGCCTTGGCTGCATATTCTGTTAAATTTAAGATTTGATTTTGTCTCTTGAATTACCAGACCTGTCTACTTAGTGACGAATCCTTTCAACTATCTAATACATCAGGGAATACTAAACCTGTAGGGGCTATACAGCACCTGGGGTAATGGGATGGATTCAGGTTCACTCCAATTCCCTTGACCAGGAGCCCATAGCTGGCATCAAGGAACCTCCCTTGAAAGATCAACTAGCAGTAGATCAATGGGCAAGCACTAGACCCACAGGCAACTGTATTTCATTAAGGAAAAAAGGGGTAGCTTCTGTTCCTTGGATTAGCGCTCTGGAACAGCAAGGGAAATGGCACTATTTAGAAGTCAAACTGTAGGGGTCATACAGTGCTGTATGACCCTGGTGGGTTTAAAGCTAAGTTTGATTATAATAATGTAGGATCATATAGCTTCTGGGAAATGGGAGACATTGAGCCAAGGAAGGGGATAGAACCAAGATGTATAAAGTTTTTTTTTCTCTCTCTCTCCAACAAGTCTGCCGTCTCCCACCAAGGCAGGGTGACCCAAAAAGAAAGTACAATCATCATTCAACACTCGCCTCATTCATACATAATCACTGTTTTGGCAGAGGTGCTCAGATATGACAGTGTACAAGTCTCTCCAAACTGTCAATATCCAGGACCCCTCCTTTAAAGTGCAGGCACCATACTCCCCATTTCCAAGACTCAAATCCGACTAAATCTATAATAACCGGTTTCCCCGAGTCCCTTCACTAAATATTATCATACACTCCAACAGCTCATCAAGTCCCAAAAACTATTCGTCTCCATTTACTCCTATCTAACAAGCTCAATGCACGCTTGCTGAAAGTCCAAGCCCTTCGCCAACAAAACATCCTTTACCCCCCTCCAACCTTTTCAAGGACGACCCCTACCCATCCTTCCTTCCCCAACAGATTTATATGCTCTCCAAGTCATTCTACTTTGATCTATTCTCTCAATCACCAAACCACCTCAACACCACCTCTGACTAATACTTTTAGTAACTCCACACCTCTAATTTCTACACACCGAATTCTCTGCATAATATTTACACCACACATTGCCCTTTGACAGGTCATCTACACTACCTCCTCACTGCAGCATTTACAACCCAAGTTTCACACCCATGTAAGTGTTGGTACTACTATACTTTGATACATTCCCTTTGCCTCCATAGATAAGGTTTTTGTCTCCACAGATACCTCAACGCACCACTCGCCTTTTTTCCTTCATCAATTATATGGTTAGCCTCATCCTTCATAAACCCATCCGCTGACAAGTCAACTCCCAAATATCTGAAAACATTCACTTCTTCCATACTCCTCCCTCTCTCCAATGTGATATCCAATTTTTCTTTAATTCATTTGATACCCTCATCGCCTTACTCTTATCTATGTTTACTTTCAACTTTCTACCTTTACACACCCTCCCAAACTCGTCTACTAACCCTGACAACTTTTCTTTACAATCTCCCATAAGCATAGCATTATCAGCAAAAATTAACTCAATTACCATTTTGTACTTGATTCCCCATAATTTAATCCCACTCCTCTCCCCAACACCCTAGCATTTACTTCTTTTACAACCCCATCTATAAATACATTAAACAACCATGGTGACATTACACATCCGTCTAAGACCTACTTTTACTGGGAAGTAATCTCCCTCTCCTACACACCCTAACCTGAGCCTCACTATCCTCACAAAAACTCTATAGCATTTAGTAACTTACTACTAGCAACATCTGCCACATTGCTCCCCTATCCACTATCATATGCCTTTTCTAAATCCATAAATGCAATGAAAACTTCCCTACCTTTATCTAAATACTGTTCACATATATGTTTCAATGTAAACACTTAATCTACACATCCTCTACCAACTCTAAAGCATCCTTGCTCATGTGCAATCCTACTGTCTTACCTCTAATTCTTTCAATAACCCTACCATACACTTTACCTGGTATAGTCAGTAAACTTATTCCCCTATAATTTTTACAATCTTTTGTCCTACACAAGGAATACCACCCCCATCATAGAATATAACGTATCTTTCACTAACACCAAGGTACATGCTTGTGGATAGGTAAAAAATTGTTAAAATCCGAATAGATTTTCAAACTAATATTAGTTATCTTGGAAATCATAATTGCAAACTACTTGGAACATGAATTAAAAAAATTCAAGAGCAAAGCACATAGAGAATGCACTATACCTGTCATATTGCCTGGGAATGGAATGCAATCGTTTAGTACTTGGGGAATAAGTGCTAAACCCACAGGGATCATGTCTTAAGAATGCAAATAGAAATTTAGGCATTAAACCCAGAAGGGTCTGAGGAATACAAAACATTCAGGTTTCATCAAAGAGGATAAACAAAATACTTAAACTATGAGCTCCTCATTAGCATCAGGGTAACTTTCCTGTAGTTGTGTACTTATAATTTACTTGGATTATATTCTCCCAAACTATTCACTCGTGTACCTAACGGGTAACATTGCTTGGTACTAACTAGAAACCAGGGCATTTTTATACATAAATTACCTTTCATGTTCAGATATATCACACAATTTTACTAGATAAAATTCCATAATGTGCAGATTTCAAGTGCAAGGGTGTAAACTTCCAACTGTCCAGTGGAATATACAACTGCGTCAGGTTTTGGGTAGTAGCAACAGTACATCAGTTTACAATTTTTATTTAACTTATTATAATTTATTACAGGAATGGTTTTGCCATTGAAAATTCGTGACGATATGGCTTATGTATTGTAGATGATTCTGTACAAACTATATTCTAAAATCCCATCAAGGAGTTTTAAATGAATATAAAATATGAACATGGGCCATCAACCTGTAGATCTATTTCTTGGACAGGCAAGTACAGTTCATGGAACTATATACTATACACACTTTCGACAGGTTAACTGGGCTTCAACAGCAATTTGTACATGCTTGACCCATACACCTGTCCAAAATTTATCCTCCCCAACTGGTTGTTTTAGCAGATGCGTATTATCTCTAGTTTACTCGCCGCCACCAGACTTAGTACCGAAAAGCAGCAGCTGGATTTCATCATACATCACAAGCACAAGGGCACCACCTATGGAGAACATTGTTGGTTAATGGAATGTGATACACATTACATATATGACCAAAATGTAAAAGAGCAACAAAAATATTAGCATCCAGTGGATTTAGGAATCCATGCCACCTCAGTCCAGTGTTGGATCAAGCCTCAAATTAAAAATTAAATGTTATAGGATTAAGAACACATGCAAGCCAAGCAGAATTTTAAGATTTGCCATTTATATTTTAAGTTTAGGAGAAACGCCAGCAATCCATCACTTTGAGGGTCCAGACCCCCCCCAATCTGAAAATTCCCCACAGGGTCAAAGAAAAAAAAAAAAACTTATGAAATGGTAATCTTTTTCTGAAAGTAACAAAAAGTACAAAATTTGATAAAAAAAATTGACAAAATACACTAAAATTTTGTCAGAGTTATTTACAAGCGGCAATTTTGCCCACCGAGTCCTATTTCTGGGCAATTACATTGTTCCATTAGACTAAATTCTAATCTATTTTGCTAGTATGTGTTCCATTCTATCTACTGAGCACAAGAAATCACCCCATCAACTATTTCAACTACCCAACAAAATTATCAGAAATTGGTAATCTGGTCAATTTCACATGAAGTTGTATACATTCCAACTGCAAAATAGGGCCCAGAATAAACAATGCAGGCATTCCTGGCACTAAAATAACATTTCCTCTGTTAATTTGTGACGTTTCCTGGCTTTACAGATGAATTCCACTGATTTTTTATTCACTAACAATTTTTATTCATACCAAAGAATTAGAAGATTTACCGTTATGCAATATTGCAATGTAACTGTATAAATAATATCAGCACATTCGTGAACGTACATTAGACCCCACCAGCTGACAGGCATTGGAAGTGTTATGTTATTTGTTTACTAGTGAACATCAGCAAAAATCAAACATTTCTGCTAATTTCAAGCTATTTTCAGTATGAAAACCCATCAAAATCATTTCTATTTCTGTAATATATCTTCCATTCTATCAAATGAGACCAAGAAACTGCGAATACAACTGTAAAACCACCCATAAGAAAATACACTGCAAAGTCGCCATTTTAATCCCAAAACACTGCAGTTTTTTCTTCTCATGCATTTTGTGCTGCAGGATTTGTTTTATATGGTGCACACTTACCACATACATGCATTCTCTCATATCTAAACCCAAATTTACCACTCAGCTTATCTGAGTTAGCTGAGCTCATAACATAGTACTACGGCTTGGACCCTGGCTTCAAAGCCGTAGAACTATGGGACGGACCCTTGAAGGGTTAATGTGTTTCCCCTGAAAAGCTTTGATCCAGATATACAACTTCCCACAAGACCTTTTGTATTTAGGCTGTCGAGTGGCAAATTTGACATTTTACTTTAAACACTAGCACTTTTCCACCGAGGTACAGTGACATGAGGAAACATTCACCAACACTCATTAATGACAACCTCATCAGACCCCTTCCTTCTTCAACCCAGATTTACATAACCCTCCTATCTTGTTCCATCCTCTCCAAATTCCCAACCCCCTTTATAACCCCTCAGTTTATTAACTGCTAGGTTTATAAACAATTATTTAATAATCTTTATGAATTATCACATTCTCTTATAACTGCAGAATGCTGCTTCTGGTTACCTTCAAATTTTTAGTGCTGGTGTATTTTTGAAGGGGAAGTTTCAATCGAGTTATGTTTACTCCCAATATCATCATTCCAAAGCAATAGATGGAGAATGCCTCTTCTGATTAACTTAAAACTTTAAATATATGCGGGAGTATCTTAAAGGTTCGAACTGTTTTTGGATAGTTTAGGTGCCAAGCATACTGAATCACAAAAATTTAAGTACTAGTCTGTGCGGCATGTCAATTCCTCGTTCAGTCAGCCTTAAGTCTAAAAGGCACTGGGTTCAGAAGGCAGATGCTGAGCAGCAACAAACCAAGTGCTGGTGTATTTTGAATATTAGGAATCTGAAATAAGAGAATGCTGCATAGCTAGCTTTAAACTTTCCAAGCTGGTGTATGTAAAGGGAAAGGTTTCAATTGGTTTTTAGATGACAAGTGCCAATTTACCATTCATGTTTGTGAATGCCTTACCTTAAAATTTTGGTCAGTTTGTTAACCAGAGGGGCAGCCAACCAGGCTAGCCCAAAGAATTATTATAATAAAAAAGAAGCGCTTAGCCACACGGGCTATACAGCGCTGCAGGGCAGGAAGGAAGCGAGGGTATCAGGTGGCAAAAGGGAGATGGACGAGTAATAGGTCACGGAGAACAGCGGAGCAGTGGATGGTGTAAGGGTAGAGGGCAGCAAGAGATTGAGGTAGAAAGGGCTGAGGGGAGTGCGAAAGGTATCATCAGAGTTTGTGGAGTAAATCAGTCGTTGTCAAGAAGTCAATGAGAGAGTCAGGATTAAAGGAGGGTCCATCAGCAAGAAGGGAAGGTAAAGAGAGAGTAGTAGAGCGGAGACGACGGAGGTAAATTCTGCATGCTCGTTGATAGAGGGGGCAGTCTAACAGAATATGGCTAACCGATACTGGAACTTGACACTGCTCGCAGAGAGGAACAGGGTGCTTCTCCATGAGATACCCACGAGTAAGACGAGTGTGGCCAATGCGAAGGCGGGAGAGAGTAGTCTCCTAACCTCGGCACTGATGACAAGAAGATGGCCAGTAACCTATGCTCGGTTCAATAGAATGAAGTTTGTTACCGAGCAGAATTGACCAACGTTGTTGCCAACGGGTGTGAAGGTGGGTAGCTATTACAGCAAAATAGTCCAGAAATGCAACACCTCTATATGAAATTGGTAGGTCATGTACTGCTGACCGTGCAGCAGTGTCTGCCTGTTCATTGCCCTGTACGTCGACATGACCAGGGACCCAACAAAAAACTCTCTTTATGCTTGGTAGAGATACGGCGTAGCCAAAGTTGGATATGGAAAACTAGGGGGTGAGGTGTATCAAATTATCGTATAGCCTGTAGGGCACTAAGGGAGTCTGAGACTACCACAAACGATGACAGGCATAGATGCGATACGAATAAGTGCTGCAAGAATGGCATACAATTCAGCAGTAAAAATGATAGCCGAAGATAGTAAATGCCCTCGCACGACGCTGTCCGGAAACACTGCTGCGAATCCGACACTGTCTGAAGACTTAGAGCCATCTGTGTACACAGCGATGGCATGAGAGAGTGAAAGTGATCAAGAAAAAGGGAGTGGGAAGCCACCGTAGGCAGTTGGGCTTTCGAGCAAGGGAGTGAGAAAGAACAGACCCGAACAGCTGGAACTTCCCAGGGGGGTAGGGAAAAGTGAGATGCTACATGAACATAGAAAAGTGGTAACTGAAGGGAAGACAAGAGCGAATGTAGGCGAAGAGAAAAGGGACGGAGCAAACAGGTGCGGCGAACAAATAAAGAATGTCTACTCATATCAGTGACCATTCTATAAATGGAAGGATTGCGAAGATCATGAGAGCGTACATAGTAGCGAAGGCAATGAGCATCACGGCGATCAGACAAGGATGGAACATTCGCTTCTGCATAGAGGCTCTCAACAGGGGAAAAGCGAAAAGCACCAAGGCATAAACGTAATCCTTGGTGATGGATGGGGTTAAGGCTAGAGAGCAGCAGGAGAGGCCGCTGAATAAATCTGGTCACCATCGAGTTTCGATAAAATGAGGACTGAACGCAGGCGAAGCAGAGTTCGACGATCAGCTCCCCAGGAAAGATGAGCAAGGGTTTTAAGAAGGTTCAGTCGGCTGTGACAAGAGAAGGCCTAGAAACCTGACTATCACGTTCGGGGATACAGGAACCATAGAGGTACCAAGGATGATCGGAGATGACAGAGCGTCTAGTGAAAGTAATTTGGCGAGTTTTGGTACTGGAAAATTTAAACCCATGCGTGGTGGCTGAATTGGAAACAAGGTCGACCGCATGCTGGAGAGAAACTAATGAGATGACAGTCAGCGCCTGCACAAGCAATAACGAAGTCATCAACAGTGATGACCAAATATTGGGTGGAAGGACAGAAGCCAAATCATTTATAGCAAGGAGAAAAAGTGTTGTGCTCAGAACACATCCCTGAGGGACACCTTCAGCTTGGACGAAGTCTGGGGAAACCACATTATTGACTCGAACACGGAAATGTCTGTCAGCTAAAAAGCTCTTAAGGAAGGATGGTAGATTGCCTTGGAGCCTAAGGAGTGGGCTTGGGCCAAAATATTATACCTCCAAGTTGTGTCATATGCCTTCTCAAGGTCAAAAAATATGGCAATAACCGCCGAGTGATTATTCGCAAAGGCATTACAACATGCATATCCAAGCGAAGTAAGGGGTCTATGGTAGAACGGCCCTTACGAAAGCTATATTGACTAGTGGAGAGATTGTTGTTTGTCTAAATACCACATTAAACGTTGATTTACCAGAAGTTCCATCACTTTGCAAACTGCACTAGTAAGAGCGATGGGACGATAGTGGGAGGCATCATGTCCCGTAGTACCCGGCTTGCAGAAAGGGAGAACAATGGCAGATTTCCACAGCTGGGGAAGAACTCCTTGTGCCCAAATAAGATTCAAGAGGTGTAAGAGGACTACAAGGGCTGACTGATGTAAATGTTGTAACATACGAATATGAATGTCGTCAGGCCCAGCTGCCGATGATCGGCAAGCTGAGAGCGCTGCCTCCAGTTCCTGAAGTGTAAAAGGCACATTATACTGTTCTTCTCCGAGAGAAGAAAAGTCCAAGGGTACTAACTCTCTGGCAGACTTTGAGGAAAGAAACGAGGGGCATAGATGGAGCCCCCAGGAAATACGGACCAGACGAGTGCCAATTTCAATGGCAACATCAAGAGGGTTTGCTACATAAATACCGGCGACCCGTAGAACAGGAACCATGTCAGGAGAGTATTTACCACTCAATTTCCTCACTTTTTTCCAGACTGCACTCAGAGGAAGCAGAGGTGATGGTGGAAACAATTTCGCCAGCAAGTGCATTTAGAGTCACGGATGACAAGGCGAGCGATC